GCTTTTTACAGATTGGAAGGAACCAATTTTTTTTTAATCCTCGTCTCTGAATTAAAAAAAATGCATAACTTTTTTAAAGAAGAAAAAATGCAGAATTCTGCATGTACTCTCAGTATAAATGTTCTATTCTATTCTTTGTCGTGTATTAATATTTTACAATTTTTCCCGCAATGATATTTATTATGATCTGAAGTTACTTTTTGTACCTAAGACTATGAAATTTTTTAAATTCTTACAAAGTATATTAGTGAAAATTAATAATATTTTTTGGGTAGAATGTGCAATAAAAATGCATTCAACTATATTGTAATGACAAGCAAAAGTTATAAAATATTAAAAACAGTAGTGTAGAATTTTTGAGTCGTTGTACAATTTAGATAGTTGCGTAAAATTTTATTTCAGTTTTTAAGGTGAGCGTGAATTTTATTTTATTCTCTGAAAAGAAACGTATGAATTTATAATTTTAGTTTAAATTCCAGTTGTGTTTCTAGTCTCAATAAAAACTTGTTTGGATGGATTGATATTTGATATTAAGCTTATATTAATTAACTACGGATATATATATATATATATATATAAGTAAGCGTAAGTAGAGGATTATTACTATACTTTTCAAAAGAATCAATTTTTGCAAAGGAGTCTTGTATCGTGTATCCTGCTAGTCAACAGTTATTGAATTCTGTACATCTGTGGTCCTTAACCCCAGAGCCGTGGATCCGTACCGGTCAGTGGATTAAATAGTATCGGGCCAAGCAAGGAACATTGTTATTTTCAATTTATTTGCTGTGGTATATTTTTTTCTGGTTTGTGTGACTTCGATGGAAAACACTTTATATTCATTTTTTGGTGTAACTTTATTTTATTTGAAGGCATGTTTAAATACAATTAAATTAAAATTATTAAATAAAAACAATCTAAAATATAAACAATTAACGTCCCCTTCCCTCAGCGGGAAAATTATCAAACGTTAACCGGTCCACAGTGATAAAAAGGTTGGGAAGCACTGCTGTACATGACATACGCTTTAAATTTAATTTTTCTTGAATATACTTATCCATCAAACAGCAAGTGAACAAAAAATCTGTTCTATAAGAACACCACTAAAAGAGATAGCAAAATAAAATTGATAGATCTCCAAAAGTTCAGAGAAAAATTCTATATTTTCGAAGTTATAAAAAAAGTTTAGCTTATATAGTGTTAGGGATATCGTTTGAAGAGTAAAGTTTGAAGTTTAACTTTGAAGTAAATATTTTTATATAAGTTTTAGAATACCTAAAAAAACATTCAGTTACATTTTTTTCAGTGTATTTAGTTGAACAAAGCAAAATATGTATTTGAATGCATATTTAGGCAAATATGTATTATTATGCAATGATCATTTTTTGTGCTACTGAATAAGAAAAACCTTTTAACTAAATTAAATTTTAAAAAATTATTTTTAAAATTAAACTTGGATATTTTTGTGCTGATAGAACTGAGAAAGTTAAAAAATACATATTATATATAATTAAATCCATAAAGGTAAAGAAAATCAATTACATCGAAATAAAAAAAAGATTCTAAGCCTCATTGTTTTACATATTGACCATTATATTAATAATTATTCTTATTAGCTATAAATAGCAAAAATCGTTCATTTAAAACAACTTCCTTCCATTCAGAGAGAATATGTATATATATATATATATATATATAATAATAATATTCACAGTTTAATGTAGTTTCGGTTTTCAATTTTAATTGCGTTTACTAAATGAGGTTTTTTTGAAGGAAAAGAGAAAATTTTTGATTGTTTCCACTTATTCATTAAAATATAAAAGAAAAAACTATATGCTTAGTTGATGACCCTATTTTAAATTCATTTCTTCTTATCGGAATAATTTTTTCTTTTGTATAAGATTCTGTATATTTAAAAATAATTGGAATTTTAGATTATTAAAATAATTGAAATTTTGAAATGCAATTAAAAATAATCGCGTTTTTCAGCGTAAGTTAATTAACTGAAAGCTCGTAATTTTGAAACAAGCAACACAAATATACCAATAAAATGGAAACGAAAAAAACTGTCTTCAGGGATATTTTAATTTTAATTTTGAAATTTTTTATCATATAAACTCCATTTATTAAACAATATCCATGAAAAAATAACATAAAATGTTTTAAATAAATTTTTTACTCCACATGACTTTATGAATAAAATGAAACCTTCTCTCCAAATGAACGTAATGTAAGAATGATGTAAGGTAAGATTTTACTTCTCCATAAATGCAAAGCAAAGAAATAGAACTTGACCGTATGATATATAGAAATGAAATGATGATGCATAACTGTTCCAAAATAAACCAAACCCATTCTTAAAAAATATTTTGTATTATATTACACTGCTGGCTACCGTAAATGCAACTCCCTGAAGGAAGCATGCAAATAACATGAAATTTACAGCATGCATTAGCGGAGGTAAGATATGCAAATGATTAGAATTTCAGCGCAAACACACATCACCCGCGCCTGTGGCGCCACCTCAAAGCGCTATTTAAGGCTTGGAGATTTCGACGATTTCAAGTTCGGCAATTGTGTTTTTCTTGTAGTTTTTTCAAAAAACGTCCAGTTATTTCTCGTTGAAAACAGCGATCAGCTTTTGATCAAGTATCCTAGTTCGACAGAGGAAGGATAGTGGCCTACCGAGATTGGGGATTATCTTTCAGGGAAATCGGTAGTCGTGTTGGACGAAACCAAACAACTGTAATGCGGATATGTGACCGTTGGATGCAAGAGGGTACGACGGACCGACGTGGTCCATCGCATCCACCTCAGTGCACCACTTCACGTGAGGACAGGCAAATTGTGCACATGGCAGTGATGGATCGCTCAGTCACATCACGAACCGTAGCACAGCACATTGAGTCTGTAACGCATCATTCAGTGTCTGCGCGTACCATTCGACGCCGTTTACAGCAGAGTGGTCTGTCCGCAAGACGTCCATTGCTTGGTCTACCCTTGACGCAGAACCACAGACGTCTCTGCCACTAATAGTGCGATGAAAGAAGGATGTGGGTGGAGGAATGGAATGAAGTTGTCTTTACTGACGAGTTACGCATTTGTCTGCAACACCACGATGGTCGGTTTCGAGTATGGAAACACCGTGAAGAGAGGATGCTGAACAGCTGCGTTATGCACCGCCACACTGGTCCTGCACCGGGTATTATGGTATGGGGAGGTATTGGATATCACTCTCGCACACTCCTCTAGTACGCATTGCCGGTACTTTTAAACAGCCAGCGCTACATCTCCGAGGTGTTGGAGCCAATTGTTCTTCCTTACCTTCAGGGCTTGGCCACAGCCATATTTCAACAAGATAATGCGCGACCAAACGTGGCACGCATTGTCTACAGGTTCTTCGTCAATCACCAGATTGAATTGCTTCCCTGGCCTGCTCACTCTCCGGATCTTTCGCCGATAGAAAACATGTGGTCCATGGTTGCTCAGCGATTGACCCAGATTACATCCCCAGCTGCCGCACCAGATCAACTTTGACAACGTGTGGAAGCTTCTTGGTCTGCTGTACCCCAAGATCACATCCAAAGTCTCTTAGAATCAATGCCGAGGCGTGTGGCAGCGGCGATCTCCAACAAGGGCGGCTACTCTGGCTACTGATTCTGGCAGGAATCACACTTCACAGAAGTCTATAAGTTGAATCATTTGATACTTGGTCAACATGTTATCTACAAAATAAATTTTGTTGTGCTATTTCTTGTCTTTCTTGGTGTTGCATTTACGGTGGCCAGCAGTGTATATTTCTATTGATTGTGTTCATGAACTTGTTGCCGGTGTTGTTGGAATGGAATTTTCTATTCGAGTTCTGATGTTTCTCAAGACCCTTTGTGAGAGGGCTGATGCATATTAAATCTGCCGCGGTTCAAAGTCCTTTTGTTGGTGTGATGGAAAATTTAGCGAATGGCCACTTCAGGTGTTCTTGACCGTGGTTCAAATTATTCCATAGCCACCCTCCTCATGCTATTCCAGAGGGCGACAATAATGAATCAAACTCATGTTCTAAAGGATATATTGATATTTATCTCCACTTCATTCCTTAAGCCTTTAGAAAGAGGAATGAATCGTTGCACAAGTCTGGGAGTCGTGTTGGTTCCCAGAATATTACAGAATGGATCTGTCTTTAAGACTTAAGACATTCTATTGAAATACGAGATGAATTAGTTTTATTGTAGCTTAGGATTTAAGAAGATACTTAAATGAGAGAGTAAGAGGCGAAAGAGAGAGGATATTATAAAATCTCACTGAAAAGGGCAAATGATTGATATCTCTATTCAAAATGTTAACTGTTGCTGAGAATTATCGGATATCAAATAGTCTTTTTTTACAGAATTAATATGAATAATAGCTCTGCTTCATGGAGCTTCCCAGAAATAATGCAGTTAAGGATATCTTCCTTCTACTATCATTGAATGGGATTCAAACTAGGAACATATTTTAAATAAGAAAAAACGTTAAATACAAATTCGTGTGATTTTGTTGCGTATATCTATGCATCGTACTTATAGTATACCTATTTATCATTTGTTCTTGATATTTTTAAATACACTCAGACTTATTTTTATGTGTTCTTTTTCGTGCATCGAACGAATACAACTTGATATAATGAATTATGTGGTTCATAAATAGGAGGGTCGACTATAATAATTCTAATGTTATTTTGAAGAGTGAGGTTGCTTAACACTCAATCAATCAATAATATTATCTTAGATTTAATCATATAAACAAATTAAGTCAGTTCCTACTTAGGTCAACAAAGAAAAATCTTATTTTAGTTACTTTTTATTAAATAATTACAATTAATATAAATATATACATACATATGACAGAATCACAATATTAAGTGGGAAAATATAAAGCAATTTTCCTTTCTATATATATGGTGTTGCATTATTATTTTTGTTTGTTACTGTTTATTCATTCATAAATAACAGCCTCAGAAATTAGCCCATCCCAGGTAGGATTCCATCCCCACGACCTTTTGATAAGAAGTCCAAAGCGCTATCCATTGCGCTACAGGGACACAACAAGCGATTTTCCTTTTTATATATAGTGTTGGACTATTATTTTTATTTGTTACTATTTATTCATTAATTAAATTGAATTAATGAATTAATATTTGAGAGAATTCTATTAACATCAAGTGTCCTCCACTACAAGTTTAAAAAAATGTATGTGGACTTGAGTGGATGAATAAAAAATATTTTATCAATGACTGTGTGTGTGAAAAGATTTGAACAAGATATATATATATATATATATATATATAGGGAGAGTGTGAACTAATAATAGAAATTGAAAAAAGGACGCACAGTGGAACAGTGTATCCTTATGTGAAGTTGGAGATCTTTTTTGGCAACTGCTTACATCGATCGGCAAACTATTGATATGTATCAACAGTCGTTCTCAACTTGCAAAATAGTAAATTCGAAGCAAAATAACAAGTGTGCGTTACAACGAAACGTCAAAGAGTGACGTTAATAAACAATCAGTTAATATAAATTGAAAATAATTGATATATATTTTTTAATTGATTACATTTGAACTAGTGTACAGTCAAAATCACCCTATAAATAATTTTTCTTTTCTAAATAATTACTGTACATCATCGAAAGGGAGCCTTTTTCTGTCTTTTATATGAAAATTTGTGATAAGCAACATGAGGAGAATTAGAATAAATAATTTAATAACGTGCTTTTTTACAATAAAAAAGTATCAAAAACAATTATTCGTAAATTTTTGGAAGTTTAACTTTTTATGACGAAGTTGATTTAATTCTTGTTTTGATATCGTTAAAATACTTCTCTAATGTTTGCTTAATCCATTTCCAAGATTTTGAAATTAGTTTCCGTTTAGATTTCTTCAATCATCCAATTGTAATTAACTGATATTACGATAGAGTGGCGCAGGTAAATGAAATGTGTGTGCTTTGAGGGTTAATTCCTCTCTGTAATGACTATAAACGGAATGTGTAGCTACGTAATGGCAGATATGTGTGATAATATTGTAACTAAATTATTGTAATAAGCCCAGCTTTTGTATAATTAATTAACACATGTCATATCAAATAGTGTAAATTGATTGAATGAATCAATTGATGATTAAATGTATGTAATTAAATTAAGTGCAACTCTTAGTAAAATGAAACTGACAACACTTTCCAATTTTATTTTGGACACGTCCTTGAATCAGTGTCGAATTTTGAATAAAACTGAAAGGATTTTTCTACTCCTGTTATAGTAAGCTTTAAAATTTTTAAGAAATTAACCTCGGTAGTTAAATTAATATTTTAAATTCCATAATTTTAGTTAGATTAGCTTTTACATATCTGTGTTTTATTTACTTTTAATTACATTATTTATTTGCATTTGAAAATAGAGAGATATATGACTAGAAATTTTTTTTAGAAACGTATGAAATACAATAGATTTACAAAAAAGCCTTTTATATCTGTATTATAAATATGTAATATGTTCTATAGTATTATATTGACGTCAAAGGAATATGCTCAAAGTTTCTGTACGATGTCTGTTTTTCTTGGTTAAGTTTTAGTTAAAATGTTAGCGAATTTCTATTAAAAAGGTTTTGAGTGGTCGGTGTTATTTCATTCAAGACGTAGGTCAGAATCTTGGGGGAGGGGGGTACCACTAAATAATATCGAAAGTTGGATGCATGTTATAAATCTGTTTAGGTTCAAACAGTGGCGTACACAAGGGCAGGGTTTGGAGGTTCAACCTCCTCCCCTCTCACATAAACCAGTAGTTTAATTTTTACCATAGACATTACCCCTCGGAGATTTAATCTGCCAATTTCTTATAATGTAACCCTGATATGAGAGAGGTCTGTGTACGCCACTGGGCTCAAGTCCTCACGTTGGGGGTCTGTGGAAGTTTGGGGAATAGGGTTTTTTTCATGTTTCAAATAAAAGTTATTCGTGTAGCAAATATTTGTTTAAACACAAAAATATTGATTATTATTTTTAAGAGATTATCAATATTAAAAAACGACAAAAATAATCTATTTCGAATTACATTTCATTGTAAAAAGAAAAAGATATAATACAGAGATTCAAGAGGTTTTATCTTTATTTAGACACCAGAATATGTATTCGAATAAATTTAAATTATTTAATGTCCTAAGTGTTTCTTATGTACAGGGTAGTCCCGAATTAAGGGTACAAATTTTAATGGTAGGTACAGGACATTGTAACAATCATTTATTGTACAGGAATGTATGGCCGCAAGTGACGCGGTGAGCCCCAAGCACAAAAAATAAGAGACGAAAGGAATGGCAATGTGTTTATTGAAAGCGTCGTTGACAAGTGTAATGTTTACTGTTCAAAATTACGTCCACAAGTAGCGATACATGCTTGACAGCGTCGGTGGAACGATTGGCGTACACGTTCAATGATGCCAGGTACAGCTCTCGCACGTACAGCTTCGAATATTTGAGCAACGAGATCCTCATGTGAGCCAAGGGGAGCTGCATAAACAAGATTCTTCAGTTGTTCCCATAAAAAGTAATCGAGGCTCGATAAATCGGGAGACCAAGGGACTGGTCCACCACACCCAATCTATCGCGCCTCAAACGTGGCATTCAGGTAAGTACGCACATCAGTGCTGATGTAGGCAGGCGCCTCATCATGCTGAAACTACATGTGTTTACGAATTACGGTCAGAACATCCTGCAGCAGTTCTAGTAACATCTGTGCTAGAAAAAAAAAGAGAACATTCGACATTCAGTCGTGTACAGCTCTTCGTCGACCAGCACCATGTATGATGACCTGTTTCACGAAGTTGACGATGTAACCGTTGAAAAATTCTGTGATCCGGTACTTGCATATCATGAAACTGCGTATGATACATTCGTAGAGCAGCTCTGCAGTTACCGTTTGCCCGGCCGTACATGTAATGCATGCCTGCTTTTTCGGCATACGTAAATTCTCCCATCGTAGACGTCAGCACAATTGCGAATGGCGTCTTCCTCTCCTGAGATGCATCATGTTGAATGGTGGCTAGACATCTTCTTCCCCCTACCGACAACGCAACCAACCGATAACTCCATTTCTTTGTTCTTTTATTTCTCCTGTTTGTGCCTCACCGCGTCATTTGCGTCCATACATTCCTATGCAATAAATGATTGTTACAATGTCCTGTATCTACCCTTAAAGTATGTACCATAAATTCGAAACCACCCGGTATATCTTTTAAAATTCTATGTTCACCGAGAAATACTGGAAAGATTGAAATTTTGAGGTTGAAAATTATAACTTAGCATGTTCTTCCTAGTTTTTATAGTTAATATAGAATTTACGATTTTTATTTCACTGAATAGGAAATTGGTATTGGTTGATATTATAGCATTATTTGAACTCTAATGATTATCAACCATTAATGATATTTCTTTAATGAAATCTTATTTTTTTCGCATTTAGCTATACTTAAATTTTCGTAGTATATAATAATATTGTCAAAATCATCGTACCAAGAACTTCATCAGTCATTATATTTCGAATTAAGATTCGAATCTCTGAAGTAGAAGGGTTGATGCAGTCAATTGTGAAAGTAGTTGCCACATTCTTTTCGCTTTTCTGTGTAAAGATTCACGTCTCAATTCCATGAAAAATACTGTTATTGGTTTCGACTCCATCGCTAATTGACTCTCTATCGAAAAGAAATATTGGTGAGAATTTTTCATCCCAGTTTCCGATGTGGAAAGAAATAAATCCAATAAAGAAAGAAATGGGACTGATACATTGAATTGAGGAGGAAAAAATAAAAAGCCATTAATTCCTTGATTCCACCTCTTTTATTCAACCGATAAATGAAAATTACATACAGGCTTTCACAACAAAATCTTTTCAATGGAAGCGAAGAAATAAAGTCAAATAAAAAGCATCGAATAAAATACATAGTTGAGCAGTCAACTAGAATTACAAATACTTCAAAGTGTTCACATATGGGGCCCGCGGCGTTATTTTAATGAAGATTCTTTATTGCAAATTTTTCAATTTACTGCGCTGTATCCATTCTAATAAATCAAGTGAAACTGAATTGATGTCATTAATCCAAGTACTTCAAGATTGTTTATTAATATTGCACTCTTTGAAGCCACACGAGGGTTATTGGTGACGAAACTCGTAATTTTGACTCTCGATGATGTGATGAGGACGACAACAGAGCTGACAATCATGTTCAATATCAAATAATTCAATCAATTCGTTTCTTAATTTTTACAAAATCTAAAAAAGTAGACTATATTTGAATTTTCCAAAAAATTAATGAAAAATCAGTGAATTAGTCATGAAAAATCAGAGATTATAAGTAGTGGATCGATTTGAAGATGAGAGGAAAACATGAGTGAGTGAGAGTTCTACAGGGTGTTTCATAAAGAAGTATACACTTTTCTAATACTGTAAAACAGTAAGAGTTAGGGACAGAGAAACCACCTCAGCGAATCATAAGATATATATACTATTAAAGTTTGTGTTTAGGCCCTGATGGAAGTGAAGTAAGCAATAGAAGGCATGCCACGTGACTAGTCAGTTAAAAAGGCTTTTTGTGTTCTTGAATGGAATCCACAACTGCTGTGCAATGGCATTTTCAATCACAATTCGGAGAAGAACCTCCAACTAGAAAATCTATCTAACAATGGTGTGAACAATTTAAAATTACGGGCTGATTGTGCAAAAGATGATGCTGAAACAGCGTATCACAGCCGCTATCAATGAACTTGATATCTAATCACAGATTTATATGGAAATGAGGTAATGGTTCGATGTATGTCGGGTGTCTAAAGGATCACACATAGAACATCGGTGACTGTCTCTAAGAAAACTTAAAATAGTCTCATACAATTCTCTGTTGTTGTTGTCGCGTGTTTATTTACTGGGATACACACGAAAGACGTGGGATAGATGAACAGAAACATACAACACAATCACAAAAGAATACAGATTTTATTACAAACGTTGATCCCAGCAAAGAACAAAAGAGGTACGCTGCTTTACTTTCGAGACGGGAA